TAAAGAATGAATGAGAAAAATCTATGAGAAAACATCAACAAGATTAATACTAATATTTAGGAAGGAATTGACCAGCGTAGTTTACTAAAAAGTTCCAAGACAGCAGGAAACACAAAGGGAAACTCTTTCTCAAAAAGACCCAAAAAAAACACAAATAGGTTACTGTTTGTGCAGACCTTTCTCTGAAATGTCTAGATCTGGAGTAGAATCCAGGGCCAAAGGAAGTGTGGGGCTTGCTGTGCCTTTAAACCCACTCTAACCCTTGAGGAAGCACTCTTTGTCATGCAAACCTCACTAGCCAATCAGGGGCATTGAGCCAACCCTCCTGTCTCAAGTCAGGAATGAGACTTCCAGGAGCCATGCAGCAGGCATGGCTTTATATCAGAACAGGCAGCAGAGCATTGATTGCTGCTCTTTGAGTTTTGCTGTGGGTAGTTGTGAGGGGATCATGTAGCATGGTAAGCAGCATGGTAAGCAAGGGGGTGAGGAGGGTGGGATGGGAATGAAAGTCTGTTTGGCAGGCACTGCAGGAGGAGGCTGGGCTGGAATGTGCTGCCACATGCAGGGTGTGGCTTATTTTTACTTCACCATGTGGGCTACTTCAGAGGAAAGGATTTCAATCAGGTAGCATTGTGAATGAATTTCTTTGTAGTCAGCTCCATTATGGTTTTGGTGCACTGGGATGGGTATTTACCAAAGGAGAGGTTCAGTTAGTCCAGTGCCTTCCAGAGGTTTAGGGGTCAGATCCAAGTGGGTTTATTATCTTTTTTTTTTTTTTTTTTTTTTTTTTACAAAATACCTTTTTTTCTGTTGTTAAAAAAATAGAAAATAAAATGATCTTATTTTACATATCCATCCCAGTTCCCTCTCCCTCCCATCCTATTTCCCCAGCAACCTCCCCATCCCCCATACATTCCACTGGGAGGCTGAGGTCTTTAGGAGGGATAATCAACATTTGGAGTTTGGCTCAGGCCCTCCCCCTTGTCTGTAGGCTAAGGGAGTATCCATATTTGGAGTTAATATTCTGCATGTTCTAAATAGCATTCTTCTCTTTTTAATTCATATGATATATATGACCATCTATCCCCAATCTCACATATATCTTCTCTGCCTCCTAAGTGCTAGGTTAAAGCAAGTGCCAAGAAAGTCATGTATGAATGGCATTCTTTTGTTGGACCACACTACACCAGAGATGTTATATGAAAGAATGGTATTGTTGATATAAAGATTTACCAATTCTTGGTGGATAGTAAGATTCTCAAAATAGAATTTAGCTGATTGAGTGCTGCCCCCCCCAAAAAAAATAACAAAACAAAACATAAAGACATCAAAAAAAATAAAAGGAGTAGTATGCTATCTAGTTATGTTAGAGATTAGTATGCTAAAATATACATTTGTTTCCCTTTTCCCAGGTTAGTTCAGACATTTGGCTCCAAACCATGGCAATGGATTAACAACAGATTTACAACCAGCCCTAATGCCCATCTCCATACCATGGAGTAGGGATTTTACAAGCTGTTCAAGGGTACAACACTAGGTCATAATAAACATAAGGTCCTGGTGTGTCATAAACATCCAGTTTTCTTCTAGAGAAAACCATGGCTCTGTCATATGGGCAAGATTAGCCCGGGTGACAACAGTTTGAAAAGGAAAACAGTGATGTGTTGAGGGCAGGACTGAGCATGCAAGATTTTTTTTTTTTTTTTAGATCCTCCCTTATGGAGAAATAACATAGCTCCTTCTGAAACCATGGAAAGTGCTCAGTAGAAAAAATAACAGCCTGGGGTTGGGGGGTCTAGCCTTAGGTGTTTTCCATCAAGCTTTGAGCTATTGAGAATAATGTAGACCTCATCCTTTGAAACAAGGAAGAATCTTTGAAGATAATGCAATTGTGTGGGTCTAGGTCCTATGAGGAGGTTTTGCTTCAGATCCTGAGAACCCAACACTTTGTACCACATGGATCTGGGAATACTGGTCCCATGGACACAGTGGGCTTACTCAGTAATGTTCTTTGGATTACCTGTGTTCCCCTTGTACTGCAATGTTTGTATAGCCTTCTTCTGAGTTTTTCTCATTGAATGTTAACTGCTGCTGACTTCCTAGAAGTCCCTGCTCTCTTTCTTTTCCCCATGGAAGTAATAAACAAGACAATATTCCTCATAAGAAGCTTACTTAGAGTAAGACATAGCTTCAGCAAAATCTCCCTGTCTGAGCTTTCATCTGTTCTTTACTTATCTTTCTCACCTTCAGGCACATCTGCCTCAGGACCTGTCAGTAAAATGTGACCTGCTGTTTCTTATTACTCATGTATTATGAAATAATTATGCTACTATCTTTTTTTGTTGAAGTCTTATGTTGCCTTACTGACCTAAGTTGCAGTTTCTTATCATAATTGAAATTCCTCAAAAATAAACTGTAGTCTGACCCTGAAAAATACATAAAGATGGCAACATATGTGGAATGCAAAAAATTTTTCAGGAGCCAGGTGGTGGTGGTGGTACAAACCTTTAATCCCAGCACTCTGGACCACATACAAGCAGATCGCTGTGAGTTCAAGGAACATGTACAGAGATATTACAGGGACAACTAGGGCTATTGCACAGGGAAACTCTGTCTCAAAAAAAAAAAAAAACTAACAAAAAACAATAACAAAAAAATCTCTTGTAGGTTCCTTCCTCTTTGAGCATTAGCTGGAAATGAACACAATCTATCATTACAGAGATTTTTCTTTATTTATCTCTTAAATCAGTGGAGTTATTTTCTCATTATTAAGACAAATTCTAGAACAGTTGCAATTCCAGCATTTCAGAAAAAGGTTATGGGGATAGTCTCTCTCATCATGACACAGATGGCCTTGATTCCATCCTGTTGGTTTCCATGGCAATGTCCCTTTGTCCTCTTGATTACCCCTTCTTAAACTAAGTGATTGTATGACCTTATTGCGGCTATTTGGACCAAGTTTCTTAAACACTTTATTTGTGGATACCAGTTATTTTTACAGAGATATTTAATAAACAGAACTCATTAATTTTTAACACTGTTCATTAAGGTTAAATATAATTCTCTGATACATAGCAGGAGATTACCCCATTTGTATAGAGACCTCTAAACTATGGGGTGTCTCTGGTACAAATATCTGTAGTTGGAGTGTCAGAAGCAGAAGAGTTTAAGCATCCTTATGAGTTAAATTTGTTAGAGACTGTTTATTTAAGTTCTGAACACATGGAATCATGACACGCTGAGTAACATTGATCAAGATCTCAGTTTATCTGGATGAGTTTCCCTTGGTCTTTTGACAAAAAGTTGATTATATTTACCTTTGTTTGTTCTTTTTCTCTTTTTCCCCTTTGTTCCTTCACAAATATTGAATACCTCTCAATTACTGCATGTTCATTTTAGTGATAGAAGTCATGCTGTGTCAACATATGTTCTATTTATTTCATTATACTCTTGAGATTCTTACTGATTCCCATTTGCATAAATCTTTGGAATCAGATATCCTGTTACAAGAGGTTGGGAATTTTCTTTGCATTCTAAGCTATGCTTTTTGAAAATTTATCTTATCCAGAATATGCATACAAATGCACCAAGTTCTCAATGATTATTTGTTTATTTTTCTGTTCATGTACTCTCTTTTATTCTTGTTTTCAACCTGGGAAGCACTTTTCCTGTTTTGACTAATAAGTACTATGGGTCTTGGCCAGTGCTTGAGCACATATTCTACTGTGGGATGACCTGAGTTCATATCCCAACACCCAACTTTCTATGCTCATAACAACCTCCACTCCAGATACAGGGTATGTGAAATTCTCTACTATGCTATAACACAAGAACACAAGGGAAACCACTCTCACACAGAATCTGAATATACAACAAATTAGGAATGGCCTTGTTTTCAAAATCCTTGTTACTGAAACAACAATGATAGCAAAACCAGTCACTTTGAGTCCATGATTCTAAAATACATACTTTCTTTTTCAATTTCTTTTAAAATTTTTATTTTCATTTTACATACCAACCCCAGTTTCCCTGCCTCCCCATTTTCTCCCCCAACCTCTCCCCCATAACATCTCCATTTCAACAGTCAGAGGGGATGAGGCCCTCTTTCAGGAGTTATGAAAATCTGGCATACAAAGCTGAGGAAGGAACAAGCCAATCTATCGTTTATCAAGACTGAGCAAGGTATCCCAGTATAGGGTGTGGGCTCTAAAACCACAGTCCAAGCAACTGGGATGGGCCCTGGTTTCACTGCCAGGGGCCTCCTAACAGATCAAGTCACATAAGCGTCACCCATACTCAGAGGTTCTAGTTAGATGCCATGTCTGTGAGTTCCCACTAATGATAGTAGATGTGGTATGGCTTTGTTGGAGTGGTCTTTACCTGTTAGAGGAAGCACATCACTGTAGTATCAGGCATGAGTTTTCTTATTCTCAGAATTTTGCCTAGTGTGTCAGACATCTCGTTGTTGCCTCTGAGTCATGCTGTAAGGACTCTAACCACGAGGACCACAACAGCCAGCATGCTGATATGCCCCCTGACATAATGATGGTTAACTGAACCTCTGAAATTTTAAGTGTGACACCTCACTTAAATGTTTTCTTTGAAAGTGTTTCCCTGGTCCAGGGTGTCTCTTATCAGCAATGAGAATCTAACACAGACAGATGTTGGTTCCAGGGCCTGGGGTATTTCTTTGATAGTCTGTGCCTATCGTACAATTTATATTTGATGTGGTCTGTAGTGTTGTTCTGGTAGTTTGCCTCTCCCTTTATGTCAGTTTATTGGGATTTCTTTCTCAGGGCTATATGCTACTTAAAAGTCCAGGAAGTGGTGCATGTGGAACTATTATTGAGTTAACTTCAAATGTGACTGAGTGAACACATTATAATGTCCATGTATAAAACAAGCAAGGGTATCACCAGAATTATATGACTATATTGTCAAAGAAGTTTATATGTACAATGTATTATTCATCTTTTTCACACATGTATGTGTTATTGTAGGGTACAGTGACCTATGACGATGTGCACATCCACTTCACCCAGGAAGAGTGGGCTTTGCTAAATCCTTCTCAGAAATGTCTCTACACAGATGTGATGCTGGAAACCTACAGGAACCTCACTGCTATAGGTAAGACTGAATTTTCCTTCATGTTTCAATTAAAGGACCAAATGTTTCTTGGTTATTGATAGTATTCTGTAATTTTGATTGTGAAAAGGGAAACTTGGATGAATGAAGCATGGTTCTAAGGTTCATTGAAGTTATTACCTTAAAGTTTGTATAATTTAAAATAAAACATCATATATTTTCTATTATTTCAGGCCACTTTTGGGATGACCATAATATGGAAGATCACTGTCAAACTTCTAGAAGACATAGAAGGTAAATTTACATGTGCAATTTATGCATATATGACTCTGAAAATATTTAATGTATCCTGGAAATATTATTGAAGAGTGACACTTAAAAAAACTAAAAATGTTAAGAAGGGCAACAGTGATAATAAGTGCAGCTTAAAGTATAATTTTCTCACAAAACCATGTACCTCAGTGAAAGGTAGCTCTTCTGTGTTTGCAAGGCATTCATGTAAAATGGGGAGGATACAATGCCTTAAGTGATACCACCCTTTGAATTATACTACTTGTAGATCTATGCTGTAGATATAACAGTCTGTTTAGTTTCATACTATTCAGATATTTTAAACAGTATACATTTTGCATAGGTGATAAGTATATCTTCAAGACCTTCTAAGAAAAAAGTCTATAGTTAAGCAGGCATCAGTCATATATCTGTGACTTTGCTATGGATATTGAAAGGGTCAGTTTATGAGTGTCAAGAATGTTATTCTGGAGAAATTTTAATCCCTATAACACATGTCTGTGAGGAAAAGAAAGTCAAAGTGTGTGAATGCTAAGCATATCATATGTTGAGTCAGGCAGTTGTTGCTGATGCCTTTATTGCCAGCATTCATGATGAAGAGCAAGGTAGATCCTTAAGTTTGTGATGAGCCCAATCTACAAAATGAGTTCCAGGCTAGACAATCAACACAGAACTATTTTGTATCAGAAAACATAGAAAAAGAAAAAGAATATATGTTATCTAAATACAAGCCATGTGAAATTAGAAAATGGAAAGGGGCAATGTACCTCTCTTAGGATAGTGGGAAGAAATGAAATATATTTAGTAGTCCCCATTGACGATATTTGTTGAGTGTGAAAAAACTTTAAAATTTATCATTATTCCAGCATCATCTGAAAGATAACAAACACACTGCAGTAAATCACTATGACAATTGGGATGTGTGAATGCTTATATTTCTACTGGTATATTTGGACAATGTAGTATGGTTTATATGAATGAAAAACTGATAAGTTCAATAAATATAGCAAGTCTCTGAGTTGGTCCAGTTCTTTTCAATTATGTGGGAAAAGTCATCTAAGTAGATGCTGTAAATGTGGGCCACGAAATAAAAGCTCTTACTCTGGATCACAGGTATCTTCAGTGGAAACAACATAATGCCTCATGAGGGAATCATTATGAATTTAAAACTCAAGATCTGATTCTTGTTTATAATTAGGCCAAATTATAAATTTATATTATACATGTACTAAATTTCTTTAGTATCATGCATGTGGTAGTTTTACATATGCTAACTATCTTGGCAGGAATGAAAGAAGCCATAAGGGAGCACATCCTGTGAATATACACAATGAATGTGTGAAAAAATTTGTATGTTACAGTCATCTTCAAAGGCTTGAAAAAATTCATACTGGAGAGAAACCATATGGAAGTCTTCAGTACGGTGAAGTCTTTGCATGTCACAGTTTCCGCCAACTCCATGAAAGAACACACACGATCGAGAAAACCTATGAATGTAGTCAATGTGGGAAAATGTTTGCAAGACATACTGTATTTAAAAGACATATTAGAACACATACTGGAGAGAAATCACAAGACTATAATCAATATAATCAATGTGGTAAAGTCTATTCACTATTCAATCATCTGAAAAAACATAAAAGAACTCATACTGAAGAGAAACCCTATGAATGTCGTGAATGTGGTAAAGCTTTTTCACAACACTGGTGTCTCTTAATTCATAAAAGAACACATACTGGAGAAAAACCTTATGTATGTAATCAATGTGGTAGAGCATTTTCACAAGTCAGTAATCTCCAATCTCATCGTAGAACACATGCAGGAGAGAAACCCTATGGATGTAATCAGTGTGATAAAGCATTTACAAGAAATGCTCAACTTAAAAGTCATATAAGAACACATACTGGAGAGAAACCCTATTTATGTAATCAATGTGGTAGAGCGTTTTCAGATGCCAGTACTCTCCGATATCATGATAGAACACATACTGGAGAGAAACCCTATGTATGTAATCAATGTGGTAGAGCATTTTCTCATGTCAGTAATCTCCAGTGTCATCATAGAACACATACTGGTGAGAAACCCTATGAATGTAATCAATGTGGTAAAGCATTTGCAAGGAATGGTCATCTTAAAAGTCATATAAGAACACATACTGGAGAGAAACCCTATGAATGTAATCAATGTGGTAAAGCATTTGTAAGAAATGATCAGCTTAAAATTCATATAAGAACACATACTGGAGAGAAACCATATGTATGTAATCAATATGGTAGAGCGTTTTTAGAGGCCAGTACTCTCTAATATCCTAATAGAATACATACTGGAGAGAAACCCTATGTTTGTAATCAATGTGGTAGAGCGTTTTCACATATCAGTACTCTCTAATCTCATCATACAATACATACTGGAAAGAAACCTTATGGATGTAATCATTGTGGAAAACCTTTTTCACAACACAGCCATCTGGTATGTCATAAACCAACACATACAGGAGAGAGATGTTAAGAATGTAATCAATGTAGTAAAGCTTTTACAACACATGATGTACATGAAAGTCATGTAAGAACACATACTGGAGAGTAAATTCTGAAATGCCATGAATGTGGTAAAGACTTTACACATACCCGCACTCTCTCAAATCACAAAAGAATGTATACTTGAATGACACTGAATGTATCCCATGTGGTAAAGACTCTCTATGTATCATTAGTCTTTATAATCACAAAAAATCACAGTGCATAGAATCCCTATACATGTAACATTTGGAGTATGTTGTGAATTTTGCTTATCACAATGATCTTTGTGGGCCTAAGAAAACTCTTAAGGAAAGAAATCTTCCTCAAAAGGATGTGGTACCATCTTCAGCCAACACATATTGAAATACATAGGGTTCTGGAGAGAAAAATATCTGACAAGTGTGAACAATTGGTTGAAGCATTACAGTGTCTCTGTTTCATCATAACCCTTCTCTTTATTTACATAAAAACCTCATTCAGATGGATTGTTTTTCTAAGAACAATCCTTCATGCTTGATTTTCTTGAGAATTCCTGTAGTAAGAACTACAGTATGTTCTCAGAAAACTGACATAGGTCATGACAATGAACTTTCATTATTTTGTTCAACCATAACTCTAACTTTGTACATATTTTAAATTCATTTTTATTATCTTGATATCAGGTAATAGGGAAGAAATCATGGAAGAGAAAACCCACATCACATAAATTATTTTGTGAACATGTTAGACATCATACTTGACTTTAGTCTTAATAAATAAAATTGATTCATGTGGAGATGGTGTGCTAATAAGTTCACTAGACCCAAGACAAATTATAAATGAGTATATTATTGGGGAACAACTTACACAGATGATAATAAAGAACTTCAGATGTGTTCCAACTCAGGAGGCTGCAGCTCCTGCCCCTCTGATTTGATGTGCAACATGGGCGAGAGAAGTGAGAGACAGGGAGATGGAAAAGGAGTCAGAAATTGATGGAGGGGGGAGTGATAGTGTTATAGACAGATTGGGAAAGAGAGAGGGTCCTTCCCAGTGTTCTTCTCCTTCTGTTCATGTACACAGAACCTGAAAGACAAAAAGGAAAGTTAAGGAACCCCACACAGACACACACAAACACATACATGAAATGAAGGACAGACTGACCTGGAAATCTAACGCAGACCAATATCAGTTCCTTGGAATTTGCTAACTTCCCCTCACAAGGCCCGGAGATAACAAAATACAAATTTACACTGCCCCTCCTTTCTTGTGAATCAGCAGGTGGTGAAAAGGGTCCTTAAGAAACAAAGAGATAACTGTACCTCCAGTTTGCCCAGACAAGATTAATTACCACACACTGAGGCCTAAAGTCTGTTGAGCCTAATAGTGAGACCATCTGGCCTCAAAGGGTCACACCCCCTCCCTAAGCTTGTGGGTTAAAGACAACTGTGACTGGGGAAGAGCGCTTCACTCTAGCCTGCGTGCAGAGGCATCCTGTTTGTGCAAACGTTTCCTGTTCATTAAAGCCACTTGCATGTTGCAGCAACTGCATGGAACGCTGAGTTCTTGGGGTTACCGACCAAACTGGGAGACTCCTTATTCTGAGGGTCTTACATTTTGGAGATCTGTTCGACCCCTGAGACCACTGGTCCCACCCTGGATGAAAGTCCCGGGTTGTTTTGAGGAGGGGAGGAAACGAAGTCTTGCTTCTCCGGACTCCGCTTCCCTCCTGCTTTGTAACTTTGGTTTGGGCACTGTTTGTCTATCATGCGGATGTGTCCTGTTTCTCAGATTGTTCTTTTTGTTGTGTCCTTCTGTCCCTACTGTTTGTGTCTGTTTCTATTATCCCCATGGGTCAAAAACTAACTAACTACCCCCCTAAGTCTGACTTTAGGTCACTGGCAAGAGGTCTCAGGCCGGGCCCACAATGAAGTGATGGATGTCCAGAAGAAGAAATGGCGTATATTCTGTTCCTTGGAATGGCCTGCTTTCCCTGTGGGCTGGCCGAAGGATGGCACCTTTAACCTTTCAACTATCTTGCAGGACAAAGCCCGCATTCTCCATCCAGGATCACTGGGTCACCCTGACCAGGCTCCCTATATTCTCACCTGGGAAAGCCTGAGCAGTAATCCTCCTCCTTAGGTCAAGCCCTTCATCTCACCTCCTCCAGGCCCCCTCCCAGAACCCCTGCCTTCCCATGTCCAACTCATTCCCACACCCTCAGCCCCTCTTTTGACCTCTTCTCTGTTCCCATTGACAGAGCCCTGAAATCCTGATCATAGCCCCAAAGCTCCCCTCGTCCTGTCAGATGTGCAACAGGATCTCCTCCATCTAGAACCTCCTCCCCCTTACCCTAATCTCCAGCCAGCAGGACCCCAATCCCCAGCATCTTCACCAGACCAGGAATCCCCATCCCTAAGCTCCACCAATGCTGGCCACCAGAGGCCCTCTAGACCCATCACCACCATCCACCCAACTACGACCCTGCAGAGATAGAATGCTGGAAGAACCTGACAGCTCTGGTGTCTCCCAGGCCTTTCCTCTTCGTTTGATGGGGAGGGTTCTATCAATACTGGCCCTTCTCCTCTGCAGATCTTTATAATTGGAAAACCCATAGTTCCTCCTTCTCGCAGGACCCCCAAACCTTGACAGGTCTTATTGAATCCATCCTCATCACCCACCAACCCACAGGGGATGATTGCCTGCAACTCTTACAGACTCTCCTCACAACTGAGGAGAGACAAAACGAGTCCTCATGATTGTGGAAAGAATACTGTTAAGTACTATACAAGACAGAGACCAAATATCCAGGCAGTACAAAAACAAAATACAAATGCTGAACAAACAGAGGAACCAAAAGCCCTTCCTTTAAAATGTCTAAGAGAGGAACCTGTCTGGGTAGGACAATGGCCTATGACCTCTGAGAAGTTAGAAGCTTTAGAAAGCCTGGTTCAGGAACAGCTAAATGCTGGACATATTGAGGAATCAACCAGCCCTTGGAATTCTCCTGTATTTGTGATCAAAAAGAAATCTGGTAAATGGAGAATGCTTACAGACCTGAGAGCCATCAACAAAGGTATCCAGCCAATGGGCTCTCTACAGCGTGGAATGCCCTTTCCTTCTGTGATATCCAAACAATGGCCTATTATAGTTATTGATTTAAAGGATTGCTTCTTCACTATACCTTTACAAGAACAAGACAAAGAGAAATTTGCCTTCACGGTACCTAATTATAATAATTCTCAACCGGTGAAGAGATATCAATGGAAGGTTTTTCCACAGGGAATGCTAAATAGCCCCACCCTGTGCCAAAATTTCGTAAAAAAAAAAAAAAACGTTAGAAATAATCCGTAAACATTTTCCACAATCCATAATCTATCATTACATGGATGATATATTGTTAGCTGACTCTAAAGGAGAAATACTAGAAAAAATGTTCGAGAAAGTAAAGGAAGTTTTACCTTGCTGGGGATTACAAATTGCACCTGAAATAATACAAAAAGGAGAGTCTATCAACTACTTAGGATATAAAATAGGTCTACAGAAAATTAGACCACAAAAAGTACAGATCAGAAGAGATCGCTACCAGACTCTTAATGATCTTCAAAAATTACTAGGAGAGATTTCTCAACTACAAACCATAATTGGAGTAGAAGGGCATGATTTGAAAAACTTGAAAATGGCCCTAAAAGGAGATAAGGACTTGAATAGTCCACGAATACTATCAGCTGAAGCTGAGAAGGAATTAGAATGGGTAGAAAAGAGGATACTAGAAGCTCATGTGGACCGTGTGGCTCCAAACCTAGACTGTATTCTGGTTGTATTACCATCTAGAGAATATCCTTCAGGGATTTTGATGCAGAGAGAAGATATCATATTAGAATGGATATTCCTACCACATAAACAGAATAAAAAACTAAAAACATATATAGAAAAGATCTCTGACTTGATTATAAAAGGTAAATTAAGACTTCGTTAGCTACTAGGAAGGGACCCAGCAGAAATTATAGTACCTTTACCTAATGAGCAAATTTCTTCCTTATGGAAAGATAACGAATATTGGCAGAGAGCTTGCAGTAACTTTTTGGGAACAATTAGCAACAACTATCCCAAAACTGAGAGAATCAACTTCATAAAGAAAACGATTTGGATTCTTCCACGCATTGTAAGAAAAACACCTATTTCTGGAGTTCATACATTCTACACTGATGCAAACAAATCAGGTAAGGCAGGATATAAATCAGGAAAAATTAGCAAAGTGGTCCAAAGCCCTTACAATTCTGTACAAAAGGCAGAATTGTATGCCATCCTCATGGTACTTATGGATTTTAAAGAACCCCTCAATATAGTTACTGACTCTCAATATGCAGAGAGAGTCGTTTTACACATTGAGACT